GTGTCTTATGGGGCTGTTGCTGTCTCCCACTCAGTTAGTCAAAAATTGCAATTGAATAACCATGAAAAAACTAAAAGCACCAGGACAGAAAACACACCATGTAATCACATAGGAACAGTAACTAAAAAATGGAAAAAGAGAAAAAAAAGAAGAAAAAACAAGAAAAAATTCAGTTTTTGGGGATAGGGCACGTAGAGAAGGAAAATAATGTTGGAAAAAAAATGGAAAAAATGCAGAAAGAAAAGCAAGGAACAGGGTTAATCACAAGAAAAATGGGGGCAAAAGTAAAACTGAAATTAAAAAAAAAAATTTCAACCAGGTACAGGGAAAAGAAAAAATGTTGAAAACTAGGACCTGCGAGGGGAAGATTAAGGATAATAGTAAAAAGAACAGAAGTATTAATAATAATAGTTGTTTTAAAACAGACGAATACAAGCCAACTAATCACTAGAAAAAGAAAGCGAGAAAGAAGACAATAAAAATAAGAAAAGAGAAAAAAAAATAAGTGGAGGACAGGGCAGGGCACCCATTCTCCGTCTGAGCACACAGACTGTGATGGAGTTCCTGTGGGCCCAGAAGGTAGGTGGGAGTGGGGGATGGCCACATCTCCGTTCATCAAGCTGGTGTGGGGTATAAGAGTAACAAGAGGAATTTCGTACCTTTTCAGTCTTGCAGGTCCAGAGTGTCCTTCAGCTTGCTGGAAAGCAGAATGTGTTCTTAAGCCCCAGTAATCTGCGAGAGCACTGTCTCTTTAAATATCCAAAATAATCAAGCCTCTTTTAAACATTCAAAATGGCAGCAGCCTCCAGACCGGCAAAAGTCCACAGCTTAGCCCACCTTTCTCTTCACCCTCTCCGTTTATTCCCCGGCCACCAGAGCAGTCCTCCATGCAGTCCCTGGCTAGCAGGGCTGATTTTTAGGTCAGTTCTTAGGTCCTACCACCACTCGGCAATCTCCAAATTGTCTGTGCCATGCCGTCAGGATTGCTGCCAGACCGCAGCTCCGTCTATCTCCTTTTTTGGTATTTTCATGCAAATTCTTTTACTAGTTGGGGTTTAGTCTACTTCTCTATCCTTCCCTTCAAGGCTCAGGGGTCCAGGATTATCTTCTGTGTTTGTGTTAATTGATTTCCCTTTTTGTTGAAGAGGGTCTGTGCAATCTTTCTGCCTAGTCTGCCATCTTACCAGAACTTCCGGCATCCGTTTGTTGAAACATCTCAATAGGTATTCCATCAATTCCTCAAGCCATGTTTTTGACCATTTCATTCAGTGCAGCTTCAACTTTTTTCTTCAGTGCCATTGGTTCTTAATCATACGTTCCCTCCTGAAATGGATGATCATCAACCAGTTCTTTTTGGTGTAGTGCCTCTGTGTATTCCTTCCATCTTCTTTGGATGTTTCCTGCATCATTCAGTGTATTACCCATAGAATGTTTCAGTATTGCAACTCGAGCCTTGAGTTTTTTCTCCTGTTCTTTCAGCTTGAGATACACCAAGTGTGCTCTTCCCTTTTGGTTTTCTAACTCCAGATCTTTGCACGTTTCATTATAATAATTGGCTTTGTCTGCTCGAGCTGCTCTTTGAAATCTTCTGTACAGATCTTTTATCTTATCATTTATTCAATTTGCTTTAGCTGTTGTCCATTTGCTTTAGCTATTGTCCATTCAGGGCAAATTACAGAGTCTCTTGACATCCATTTTGGTCTTTTCTTCCTTTCCTGTTTTTATAATGACCTTTTGCTTTTTTCATGGATGATGTTCTTGAAGTCATCCCAAAGTACCTCTGGTTTTTGGTCACTGGTGTTCAATTCAGGAAATCTATTCTTTAGGTGATCTTTAAATTCAGGAAGGATATAATCAAGGTGATATTTTGGTCTTGTGGACTTGTTTTAATTGTCTTCATCTTCAGCTTGAACTTGCATATGAGCAGTTGATTGTCTGTTCCACACTCAGCTCCTGGGCTTGTTTTGGCTGATGATATTGAGCTGCTCCTTCCCCTCTTCCCACCGATGTAGTGGATTTGATCCCTGTGTACTCTGTCTGGTGAAGTCCACATATATAGCTGCCATTTATGTTGAAAAAAGGTCTTTGCAACGAGTAAGTCATTGGTCTTACGAAATTCTATCATGTGAGCTCCAGTGTCATTTCTGTCACCAAGGTCATATTTTCCAACTACCAGTGGTCCTTCTTTGTTTCCATCTTTTGCATTCCAATCATTAGTAATAATTAACACATCTTGATTGCATGTTCGGTCAATTTCAGACTGCAGAAGTTTATAAAAATCTTCAATTTCCTTGTCTTTAACTTTGGTAGTTGGTGTGTTTTTTTGAATAATGGTAATATTAACTCGTCTTCCTTGTAGGCGTATGGATGTTATCTTGTCATTGATAGCATTGTACTTCAGGGTAGATCTTGAAACATTCTTTGTAATTATGAATGCGACGCCATTCCTCTTCAATTTGCCCTTCCTGACAAAGTAGATCGTATATTTTTCTGATAAAAAATGGCCAAAACTAGTCCATATCAGCTCACTAATGCCTAGGATATCGATCTTTATGTGTTCCATTTCATTTTTGACAGCTTCCAGTTTTCTTGGATTCATACTTTGTACATTCCATGTTCTGATTATTAATGTATGTTTGCAGCTGTTTCTTCTCATTTTGAGTTGTGCCACATCAGCTAGTGGAGGTCCTGAAAGCTTTATTCCATCCACATCATTAAGATCAACTCTACTCTGAGGAGGCAATCCCCATTCGTATTTTGAGTGCCTTCCGACCTGAGGGACTTACCTTCTGGCACTATGTCAGGCAGTGCTTCAGGACTATTCATAAAGTTTTCCAGTAATATGTCAGACAGTGTTTTACTACTTTTCATAGGTTTTCACTGGTCACTTCTTTCAGAAGTAGATGACCCCTTCCTTCTTATGAGTCTGTCTTAGTCTGGAAGCTCTGTTTAAACATGTCCACCATGGATGACCCTGCTGGTATTTAAAATACTGGTGGCATAAACTCCAGCCTTACAGCAACACACAAGCCACCATAATACAACAGTCGGACAAGTGGTGGAAGCATGCATACATTCATACATACATATGTGTGTGTATACACACACACACATATATGTATTTTAATGAGACATAATTTACATCATAATCATCCTTTTAAAGTGCACATTTCAGATACAATAAGTATCTGGGTTATAAACATCTGACTTACGGACAACTTGTACTTAAGAACATACTGCTCTAAACCCTATTGTATTAAAAATTTGAGTTAAATACAATGGTTTGTAATAACAAATGCACACACTACTTTTTGACACTCATGAAAACACTATGTGGTTTTGATAGTCTGATGGCTTGAAAGAGAATGCCATGCACCTTTTTTTTAAGTCTGATCATGTTGCTGTTAACACTCTATTGACTGTGTAACTTTGTATTTGACTTAAAAATTCCTCTTATTTACCCTTGTATTAATGCCTCCAAAGCGTAAGCTTTCAATAATAGTCAACCCTCTTTTAGTAGCTTTTCTTGGCATTGCAAACCATTTCCCTAGTCATATAGTTTGTTCTGATAATCTTGAAATGAGAAAAATTGTAATCATCCTGGTAAAAGCTAGCATATATCATATAGTCCTACAGTTTGTGACTGGCAGAAAGAAAGTATAGGCAAATAGATGGAAGTTCCTTGGGGGTCAATCCAAAAAGTTACCTTTTTTTTTAATAGCTTATTAAATTGTAAAAGTTTCCTCTAAGATTAGAAACAGAGATTAATATTTATTTCCAGATTTTCTCATGACTACCTAGCTGCAATGTTCTGGTGGCATAAGATGAATTAAAAAGGAAGCTATTGTTGTATGCTGGCCCATAACAGGTGCTCAAACACTTGTTGATATTTGTAGAAGTGGCATATGATACACAATGATTTCCTTTTTCCTTCAGCATTCTGGCAGGCCCAGTCCAATTATTCAGTGTTTTGATGATGTTTTCACTAGAATGTAAGCTCCATGAGGGCAGAGCTTTTTGCTGTTCGTTGACTGCTATATCCTTAGCTCCTCAAGCAGTGCCTGTCACATAGCTGATGCTCAGATATTTGTTGATTTTCTGTGCACCCTATAAAAAGTTGGATGTGAATCATAATTGTCTCAGAGCCCTGTGACCAACCATCAGTAGATTGGCTTACAGTAAGATGCTGCTATAGCGACTTTCTTATTTTTCCATTAGTGCTGTAGTTCATGTATTTTAAAGTTAATGATATTAATAGCTAAATTTATTATGCACTTAATATGTTCTGGATACTATGCAGATTGCTTCACATCCATCGATCCTTCACCCCACTGAATGCTATAAGTGTCACGTACTATTTTTATTATGTGAAGATGAGGCTGAGCAAATATCCAGCATAGCTAAGGATACATACTAGTAGTCTTAGAACACTCTATCTTACTACCCCTTCTTGTAAACTTAAGAAAGCTCTTAGAATTTTTATCGCATGAGTACATATTCATTTAGAAAAAGTAGACTATATGCTAAACAAATTACAAAATAAAATCTAATAATTCTACCACCTGGAGAAGAGCACTGTTGATATTTGGGCTTTATGGTGCTTTTAGCCATGGTTGATAATTAACTTTAGTTGAAACCTTAAATAGCTAATGATGGCTCTGTGTATGGTTTATGTATAAAATAGAGTATATATACTACATGTACTAGAGAGTATATGTATAAAAGATACAATGAGTATACATACGTCTATATAATTAAAGGTGAATTACTGTTAAATAATATGCTTATGAAAATACCTTTCATTTTCAAATGCTAAAATAATTTATAAAGTTGTTAGAAATTTTAATTATAGTATATATAATTAAATGTGGCAAAACATTTATGTGGCACATAAATATATACATAGTTGTAACAACAACATGAAAGTACCTTTTATTTTTAAGTGCTAAGATAATTTATAAAGTTGTTAGAAATTTTAATTATGGTATTAAAATTTGCAGGAATTAGACTTATGCCAAAAAGAAAAGGAGAGACTGAATGATGAACTCCTGAAAAAAACAGATCTTGAAACTGTTGTTTGTCAGCTTGAACAAGAAAAGCAACGACTTGCCAAAAAAGTTGAAAGTTTTGCAGTTATGGGTAAGATATGAAATGTTGATAACTTAAAAAGTGATTGTGACTTTCTCTGGATTTATTTTATTCTGAATAGGTGATCTTTCATTCATTCAATATTCATTCAATACTTTGTGAGTGCTTACTAGATTCTAGAAACCATGCCAGGGAGTATAGATAGAGTAGAAATCTCCCTCCTTCAGGGAACTTACAGTATTCTTTCATATTTTGACCATTGCTTTAAGGGATCCTCCTCGAATTATTTTCCAATAGAAGTATTTTTTCTTTGAGGCAGACGGATAATAGAATTAGGATTAAGATGAGAAAAATTCTGAAAGAGCATACCACCTGAAATACACAATTTTTTTAAGAAAATACTTCTCCTTAAAGCATACACGGAGTTGAAATAGGCTAACTTTCTTCCAGGTACAAGTCCTAAATGACTGGAGTTAAGGAACATTTAAGAATTCCATCATTTGACAGATGTTTATGAATTGTCTATTGTATGGCTGGCTCTATGGGGTATATAATGGTAAAGTAGATATACAAGGTACCTACCCTTCTGGATTTGTGGTATTTTCTGTTAGAGTAGCACCAGATTGAAGGTAAGCGCGGGCGGGCTGGTGCTTACTCACTGATCTGCACTGAACACTTTCCCTTGTTACCCTCCCGAGGGGGACCAGGTCTCCGGGAGCAAGGTAAGTGCGGTCGGGCTGGTGCTTATTCACTGATCTGCACTGAACACTTTCCCTTGTTACCGTCCCGAGAGGGACCGGGTCTCCGGGAGCAAGGTAAGCACAGGCGGGCTTGTGCTTACTCACTGATCTGCACTGAACACTTCCCTTGTTACCCTCCCGAGAGGGACCGGGTCTCCGGGAGCAAGGTAAGTGTGGGCGGGCTTGTGCTTACTCACTGATCTGCACTGAACACTTCCCTTGTTACCCTCCCGAGAGGGACCGGGTCTCCGGGAGCAAGGTAAGCACGGGCGGGCTTGTGCTTAGTAACCGGGAGCAAGGTAAGCACGGGCGGGCTTGTGCTTACTCACTGATCTGCACTGAACACTTTCCCTTGTTACCCTCCCGAGGGGGACCGGGTCTCCGGGAGCAAGGTAAGCACGGGCGTAGCACAGAGTAGCAGGCTGGAAGAGCAGGAGAAAGGGGTAAAACCCAGGAAGCCAAGGAGAAGAGCAGTCAGCCAAAGGGATTAGGTGGGGAGGGGAAACTCAGGCCTGCCCAGAGTAGCAGGCCGGAAGAGCAGGAGAAAGGGGATAAAACCCAGGAAGCCAAAGAGAAGAGCAATCAGCCGAAGGTATTAGGTGAGGAGGGGAAACTCAGGGAC